AGCCCTAATAAAGATAAGACTGAGAAAGGGGAGGTCATAAAAATCAAGATGATGCTTACAACCGTGCAATTGAAACCCTGCCAATTTTTATGTGATACACGCAAAAAAGGAAGAGGATTTTGATCTCACAGTTGTGGCTGCTAACTTCACTTTTATGACTCCCTCTTCAGCATACGTGTGCATTCCCAAACATTTTGATGCCAAAATTCCAAAAGGTTTGTCTTTTCATTCTTGCGTCACGATATCATATGAAAGTATAAGTTACTTACCTCTGCCCCACACCATGAATACTGATGCTCCCTTTACAAAGGAGTAAAATTTATCTTACTTCCCTACCCTAATTTGAGCAGATTTAGAGAGATGAGAACCACTGGGCCCTTTATCTACTTTAAACAGGGGTAGGGAGCTATGGCCCTTTTATGATTTGTGAACTTCAACTCCCAGAATTCCTGAACCAGCCATGCTCAGTCATAAAGGTACCATAGTTCCCCACCTCTGACTTAAAAGAAACCAAAGAGCATTCATAATTTAGGGCCATTCACAGTTCACACCTTGCTCACTACTGGGCACTTTTTTTTTTGTAGTTCTACCAAAGAAAATGCTTGTCTCCCTCCCTGTCCCGTTTTCAAAATTCACATTCCAGTGAATTTTGGAGCTGGCCTGCTTCTCCCAGTTCATAAAATTGAGGGGAGGTGGTTTGATAAATCCTCACGTGCTGGCTGGGGAACCCTGGGAGTTGAAGTCCACAAGTGTTAAAGTTGCCATGTTTAGAGACCCCTGCTCTACAGGGGTGTGAATGCTTTGTTGCTTGTTGCCTATTGCTGTTTAATGATTATGTAGCTATGTTTTCCCAAAGTGTATAAAAACTATGCTAATTTGGATATTGGAGCCTTTTGATTTGTAATGTAGTTCCAAGATCACACCTGTTTGCACTGTGCACAATAAACAAGTTACAATTTCCTGCCTTGTGGGATAGTTGGCCACTTCACACCAGGGGAAAAATATGTCCAGCATTTGACTGGGGCGGCTCACAGTTTGGCCATCAAGCAGGACTGCTTTCGTGCACCTGCCTGCGCTGCTATTTGCCTATGGAGGCTTCAGGGCAAAGAGATGCTTCCTCTCACCTGCAACTTCTTGGATATTGTGCTTAATTGCTCCTGTCTTTGCCCTGACATCCTGTGTTCGCAGGAGTTACTGGTGATACAGGAGGATCATTTCCCACTTGCTGCAAGCGATCCTGGTGGTGCTGCCACCTCACTCGGTTAAGGGTATAATCGTGCCTCCTTCCCCATATCGTCAGTACCGCTGCAAAACACAGGCTATTTTGAAGGAAAAAAATCTGCTGCCTGCAGATGGAGGAGAGCTCAGTGAGGAAGGGTCCGACCTCCCCTTCTTTTGTCAAAAGTCCTCTCCAGCAATTCTTCGGCCTCCTCCGACCGAAAGCTCCCCCACCGCCCTCGGGGCTACGGCACAGGCAGCACCTATTAACGCAGCTGGGTCTGCTCTGCTGCTGTCCTGGGTCCACTCCTGGGAATTGCTCAGAGAGACGGCAGGTAGGTGGGTGGGTGTCTCCCCATTTTCTCTCTCTGCCTCGACCTCGGTTACAGGTCATTAAACTACGAACTCTCCCAAATCCAATTCAAAACATATCTTTGGAAGGGCGCGCACGCGATCACTTCCGGGTATCAAGAACCCTCGGATTAAAAAAAAAAAAGCGTGGATTTTATGCCGAACCATCTAACCCACACAGAGCCCCAAATCCAGTTGCTCCGGTTGGAGAATGAGAGAAACGGCAGGCTTTCCCTCCTCTCCCAGGGAGTGGGGGGTTTGGGGAAATGACAAGGAGGAGTGAACAAGGGCGAGGCAGACGGGATCAGATGAGAGAATTAAGTCATAATTTTAATTATATGCAGCTTGTGGGCTTGGGAAAGGTAGGATCGCGCAGCCAACGAGCAAAAAGCAAGAAATTAGAATTAGCGTGGCAGACGAAACGCAGCGAACGCAGCCTCATCTATAGAGAGCCGAAAAAACAGCGCAAAAGAAGGACAAACCGACCAGGACCAGCCCCACAGAACTCTGATAGGTCGAATTTATTAAGATGGTGAAGCCGATTGGTCAGCTGCTAGCATCACTAATAGGGAGCCTATCACGCTGCTCAGTTACCGCGCCCCCCTCCGAATCTGAAGTTGCAACATGGTCTGATAAAATCAGAGGGGAGCGTTTACATCAGAGACAAAACATTCTGGAGATCTCTGGACCGCTGCCGAGAGTTGGTTTTCTTTCCTTCCTTGCACCTGATGTTCTTCCTCGGTCGTACAACCCACAACTGTGTGGTCTTTTTTTTTTTTGCAATGTTTTTTATGAAATTTGCAAGATTGGGATGTCTTCATCCATCAAAATATCTCTGAACAATTATTTTTAGCATTTTATTTGTTGTTGTTAATTGCGAAGTCGTGTCCGACCCATCGCGACCCCATGGACAACGTTCCTCCAGGTCTTCCTGTCCTCTACCATCTTCTGGAGTCCATTTAAATTCATGCCTACTGCTTCAGCTTCAGCATTTTATTTAAATGTCCTTAAAGGGTGAAGAAAGGTTTTCAGCTGGGGACAAGAATCCTCTGAATTTTTTTTCAACACACACAAAATACAGAAAGGGAAGGAGAAAACTCTTCACTAATTAAAAGGCTATAAACACATTCATCAAGGATATTCTTCCAACTCTAGCTGTCTATATATTAAGTGGCTTATACAAGGCTACCATGCAGTATCTGAGGAAAAACTGAGAACACTACAGTAGGTGTCACTAGATCTAGAAGATTGAGCTCCCCTTATCTCTTGCTCCAAACATCCACAGCCACTCAGTTTGGGCAAGACTGAGTTGGAAATAAAATCTTGACAGCTTGACTTGGCAGGCCTTTGGTCAAAAGATGAATTGGGCATCATCAGCATAGTAACGATACTGAACCCAATTGGCAGATGACCTCACCCAGTAGAGTTTCATATAGATCAGAGGTCTTGAAACGTGGTCCTTTTATGACTTGTGGACTTCAACTCCCAGAATTCCTCAGCCAGGCATGCTGGCTGAGAAATTCTGGGATTTGAAGTCCACAAATCATAAAAGGGTCAAGTTTGAAGACCCCTGACATCGATGTTGAAAAAGCAGGAGAGACAGTAGGGCAACATAGCAACACTCCCAGACAGGAGGGGCCTGGAGGCGGATCTCTCCCCAAAACCAACACCAACAGGAACCAGCTTGGAGAAGAGAACTAACATAAAACCATGCCCCCAAACCCCAACCGCCTGGAAGTGGTATCAAAAGCTGCTGAGATGCAAGGAGCAGAAGGACGGAGGACCACTTCCAACTCAATTCTGCCACTCCATCAACAAACAATTGATAATCTATGATAATGTCCTCCTAAGGATACGAGCGTTGCCAGGAATTCACATGTATCTATCAAGGACAGGACATTCTTGATACAGATTTAATCATTTGGGAATTTTCACTATATTACTTTCCCCCCAGCACCAATTCTTGAAAGCTTTTTGCATCATTAATTCAAGCTTTATATTACTTGCTGTTCTAATTTTATATACGGATAATTGTATCTAATAGTATTGTCTTGTCTCTGATTTTTCTAAACCCATGTTTGCCCAAACTATGCTTTGATAGATCTTGTTGCCCCCAGCTGTTTTTTGCAGCAAATTACAATATATACATTATTTTCTCTTTGGTTTCCTGGTTTAAAGTTTGTTATGAATATTGAGTTGCAAGAAACAAATGGAAACAATGTAATAGCTCAAGGAATTCAAAGCTTTATTGACTCCATGTCATGACAGAATAAGGCAACAAGTCGTAAATATTAAATATGAGACCAAAGTTAGGAAATTACAATTAGATAAGTAGCATGAGTCTAAGCTATTTGGAAACTATTAAGAGAACCCAAGGATCACCAACATCCCCCCTCCCCCCCCCCAGATCCCTCTGGATGCTTTTGACTGCAGATCTCACTAATCAATGTGATGTCAGCATTGCTGGAAACTGCAGTTCAACATCTAGACCAGTGTGCTCACTAAAACACTACTGTATTTAAACTATACGAGACAGTAAAGTTGTGACTTAATCTCCCTTCATATAGCCTTTTGGCTAATCAGATTTATCAATCACTAATTTCAGGAAGCAAAATACTTTGGTGTATAGAATAAGCAGTTTGTCATCTGAGGGTGGCATATGGTTCCATTTTTGAAATATATGTAGTCACTCAAGATTGGGCAGATGGAATTTTGAAGCAAAACTCCACTTCCTTGGGAGCAAAGTGAAAAACAATGTTAAGCCCAGTAAACTAAAACTAACACCAATGCCTCCTATTTTTAAAAATCTATCAAAACCTATCCTGCAATAAAACTCTTGTTGCTCTTATAGGTGAAATTTATCCAAATTGGAAAAGTTGCCAATCACTGGTGTAGACTGATATTTAGATAATGCTTTGACCAGAATAACCTGTAAAAGTCCTTCTCCAATCCCCATGTCAGGAACATAATTTACACTGACCACTTTCCAGATTCCAGACTGTCAGAGCTTGTTTTTGGTTTCTCCTGTGGATGTGTTTCAGAGTGAGGCATCCTTACTGGTAACTTTGGGTCTTCAGAACAGAACAGCAGAGTTGGAAGGGATCTTGGAGGTCATCTAGTCCAATCCCCTGCTCGGGTAGGAAACCCTATACCATTTCAGACAAATGATTGTCCAGTCCCTGCTTAAAATCTCCAGTATTGAAGCATTCACAACTTCTGGAAGCAAGCTGTTCCACTGATTCATTGTTTTGTCAGGAAATTTCTCCTTAGTTCTAGGTTGTTTCTCTCCTTGATTAGTTTCCATCCGTTGCTTCTTGTCTTGCCTTCAGGTGCTTTAGAGAATAGCTTGACTCCCATCTTTGTGGCATCCCCTGAGATATTCATGCACCTAATTATGGCATCAACATGTCCTGGCATCTTCTTTTTTTTTCTTTTTTTTCTTGGTCCATAGCCTTCATCTCAGCCCCAGCTCACAAGTAGGATAGGTTGAAGTTGCCATTAGCTGTATTTCCTCCCTTAAATAACTGCCATCAAAGTGGAACTTTGTAAACATTGTAAATCTAAGACTGTTACCTTGAAGAGAAGGCAAGCAACTGACTGTGACTGAGAGCAAAATGAGCGGCAAAATGAGATGGCAATTCAATTTTCTGCCAATTCAAGGAAAGATGGATAATGCCCTGATTCAGCAGTGAGGGAAATGCCTTTCTAATATCTTCTATAATCACCAAACTATTGTTATGTCAAAATAACAGTAAAAAAGGACAGCCCTTATATCACCACAGTATTGACTGTATGATACTAGAAAATATACTAGAAAAGTCACTAACTGGGATCTCGCTTTAGTTCCACTTTTCTTCTCTCCCAAATAATATAAATCAATGTTTGCATAAAGGAAGAAGTACAAATAGCTAGGAAACAGAGACACAGCTACAAAAGAATTTATGCTATTGGGAGTTCTAAAATGCAAAGGACAACACTAAACTTTGAGGCATTTCTTGGAGAATTTAATGTAGAGTGGCAGCTATGTTCAGCCTGAATATTTGAAAATAAATGTATCTGTCACAAACTGTTATAAGTCCAAAGAAAGCAGAACCTTGGCAGATAATTTTCCCTCAAGCCATTTCATTTTTTGGAGAAGTGGATTGAACTTTAACAATATAACATTAACTACAATCCATTTCCTCCTCTGCCTCATTCTGAAATGCATCCACATGTGAATTATCTTCACTTGTATCAGGAGAAAATGTAGAATCAAACCAAGATCCAAATTTGGATTTAATTTTTAAAATGATTGAGCAAATTAAATAGCCCCATTCAATTATGCTACACTCTTTGTTTCTCATTTTATAAGCAAATCCAGCAGCGTGCATAGCAACAAGTTTCCCATTTTTGTCAAACACCGGTGACCCTGATGAGCCCTCAAAAAAACAGGTATTGTAAGCGACAAGATCAGGACTATTTTTTTCTCGGTCAAAACCTTTTGGGTTATACGAATGGATGCATTTTTCATCTGAGTTGTAACCACACATATATCTGCTGCATTCACTATTCTGGTGTTGCTGCAAATGATTGCTGTATTTATTGCCACGCTCAAATACACTGACAACAACACAAACATCCATAGACTTGATTCCTCCCTTTGGGTGACCTGTGATAAAAACGGGACCATTTGGTGGTGGTGGAGAATGAAATTGCAACAGTCCTGGCGGAGGATGACTTTGACTTTCATTTTCTTCCAATTTCAGGACAGCAAAATCGAGATCCTTATCTGATATTTCAAACCAGTTTTCCAGTGAGAACCACTTTTCTCTAGGAGGATGCTCTTTTTTATAAGAGAAAGTTACACGGGCTAACTGCTTAATTCTATTTCCCCAGTCCTTTGCTTCACTTCCTTCTCCAACTATCTTCTCTACTACATGGTAACATGTTAATATATATCTACCACGGAGAACAAAGCAAGTTGCAAACCCATGAACGCATCCTAAGTCATTCCTCCATTCTATATATCCAACAGAATTCATACGGGTAGCAAGTGTCTCCACCAATATAGCTGAAAGAGAGTCATTTACCTCCTTTCCAAAGTTTTTTTTACAAACTTCCAAGTCCTTTTTATTCAAAAAATTGAAAATCTTTTCTCCTTCTTCCTTCAGCTTAGGATACAAATGCAGGAGCTGGCATTCAAACTCCTGCTGCTGCTGTAGTTTAGAAGTACCGAGCTGTCCTTGCTCATAGTCTGGCTGTGGCTGTTGTGTTTTAGAAGCACTGAGTTGTCCCTCCCCAAAGTCCGGCTGTCCCTGTGGCTTTTCAAGGGTACACAGCTGCCCCCCTGCCAAGTCTAAATCATTCTGTTTCTTGTTTAGATCACCACTGTATCTGGCACCTTTTTTAGACTCCACGTGGATTTCATAAACTTCATCTGGTTGATCTGATAAGATCTTAACTAAGTAATTGTTTTCTGTGATTGTTCCTTTTTTTACCAGTGTCCAATTCTCTTCTTTCAAGAATGACATAAAGCGGCCATCATTGCACAGGGCATCTTTTATCGATTCTTCTTTAGGGGCAAAGATACAAAATGTGCAATATTCGTTAATTAGGCTGCCGTTTTTTATTACCGTACGGCTTTGTTTTCCATGGCTTTCCATTCTAGAACCTATTCCACGGACATAGAACAATATACATTCTCTCCTATCGTCATATTGGCGATACCATACTTCATCAGTTAGCTTGTAAGACTTCATTTCAAATTGTGAGCCATCAGGTACATACTTTAAAGGCATTCCCAGATTGATGAAGGAATCCCAAGACTTTGTCTTGTCTATTAAGTGGAACTCTTTTCTCTTGGTTCTGTCCATCCAGGCACAGACATGTTGATTAGACCTGAGGGCACTAAAGAGACTGTCAGTAAGTCTGCCTCTCACTATATGCTTCCTTCCATCTTTACCGAATGTCACCTTGAATTCTCGTTCTTCTTCACTTGCAGACTTGCGACTTGTTGCAACTTTTTCGGGACAATGATATTCATCACTACTTAGTACCTCTTCTTTGATCTAATAAAAGGCAACAATTAAATATGTGTTTGGTTTGTTATTTTGTTTTTCATTAAAACAACAGTAAAAAGACCATGTAGTGCCTAGAACCTATGTAAAGTAGATGCGAAACAATATTTTGTATAGGATATTTTCATAGGTGCTTTTAACCCAATTCAGGCATTTTCTGAACTTAATTTAATTAAGCTACCTAAGAAAGAAAGAAAATAACTAAGGCCGTGAGCACAAATCTTGGCTCAACATGTCAACACTACCAGATTACTTTTTCCTCTTGAACACAATAACCTGAAGGGCAATTGTCTCTATATTCAAACTGAAGGAGCTTATAATCTTCCCTTAACCAGGCACACTGCAGACCTGGGATTCTCAATCATGGATTAATTTAAAACATGTTCTGCTCTACCCATATCTCCAGGTGCATGTGATCCCATAATGTACTAAGGAGAGGCATGGAGACTGTGGGGAAATTCCACCATAACTTCCCAAAAGGAAAAGAATTAAAGGAAAGTTAGCTTGATTCATCACTCCCAGTAATAGCAGGGTCAACTAACACTTTCAAAAACCAAGCACCGAGGATCCAGTCAGGAGAACTGGCCTCTCTTATGTGGCATTTAAAAACAGGAAGAGGGCAGACTCCATGTTTATCTTTCAGGGTTTCTGTTTCTTCCTCTGGAGCAGGTGAAAGCCAAGTTAGCAGAGAGCCCTTAGCCATCAGCAGTGCAATTGCACGTTCTATTCTGAATTTGGATAGAATGCTAGGATCTGTGGTTTCTTGTGGGATGGACCAGGATTTTCAAACTGTATTTTACAGAGAACTTAAGGACCAAAATCAATACTCAAACTCAACCAATTTTCTATTACTAGAGTATGATTTGACCCAATGTCTAGAGCAGTGGTTCTCAACCTGTGGGTCGGGACCCCATTTGGGGTCGAATGACTATTTCACGGGAGTCGCCAAACAACGCAGTCCGCCATTTTTTCCCCTTTTTCTTAGCTGTGCTACTCCCTTTTATTCTATTGGCTTTTGAAAGCCAATAGAATAGACTCTCTTGAATAAAATTTAATTCTATTGGCTTTCAAAAGCCAATAGGAATTGTCCAGGCTGTCTCTGCCCTGCTGAGCCCGCCAAAAGTCCCATTCTGCAAATGGTGCTGCAAGTTGTCTGCAGCGAAGGAGAGCTGTCTGGAAGTTTCCACCCCTCCCTGCTGAGCAACTACTAAAAATGTAAGTAAAAGAGGGCCAGGGGTGGGAGGTCGGCGGGCGCAGGGAGGGTTACTGGCATGCATGGGGCTGGGCAGGTGCCTTACCTCCCTTGGGCTGCTGGTGGTTGGCCTGCGCCATCTCTGCCGCTTGCCAGCTACACCTCGGCCGGCGCAGGGGGCAGCACCATGCATGTGTGGCGCTCCCGGGCAGGGAAAGTCCTCAACTTATGACTGGTTGGGTAGTCCTCGACTTACGACCGGTTGGGTAGTCCTCGACTTACGACTGGTTGGGGGTCACGGCATTAAAAAGGTTGAGAACCACTGGTCTAGAGCCTGTTCAGCTATAGACAAGACTAAGAGGCTGTGGCTGTTTAGCCCCTCCCCCTCCACTGGTTGAGGAAGTTTTCACTGTCCGTCTGGGATAGGGTACTACTTCCTTATCTGAGACTGGAGTACAACTTGGGGAGCCTCCTGGACTGGCAGCGAGTGCTGAAAGAGCAGGTAGCAGCTGTGGCAGGAATAGTCTGGCTGAATCGTTTTATATTTTTTGCTGTTTTTGGATTGAGTAGGTAATAATAATAGAGGTAGTCCTCGACTTACAACCATTTGTTTACAATAGAACTGAAAAAAGCAGCTTATGAGCATTCTTCACTTACACCAGTGGTTCTCAACCTTTTTAATGGCGCGACCCCCAACCAGTCGTAAGTCGAGGACTACTCAACTGGTGCAGCACCATTTGCAGAATGGGACTTTTGGCAGGCTCAGCAGGGCAAAGACAGCCTGGACGATTCCTATTGGCTTTTGAAAGCCAATAGAATTAGACTCTATTCAAGAGAGTCTATTCTATTGGCTTTCAAAAGCCAATAGAATAAAAGGGAGTAGCACAGCTAAGGAAAAGGGGGGAAAAAATGGCAGACTGCATTGTTTGGCGACCCCCGTGAAATGGTCATTCGACCCCAAATGGGGTCCCGACCCACAGGTTGAGAACTACTGACCTACACCAATTGCATCATCCCCACAGTCAATTCAGGCACTGGGCAAGTGGCATGTATTTATGATAGTCCCGTTGACAAGCAAAGACAATTGGGGAGGTCAAATTCACTTAACAATCACACGATTCACTCCACAACTGTGGCAAAAAAAGATCATAAAATGAGGTGCAACTCACTTTAACTGCCTCACTTAGCAATGGAAATTTTGGGCCCAATTGTGTTTGCGGTTCAAGAACCGCCTGTAATGGCTGCCATATCAAAAATACCTTTGACGGCACTTAAGAGAATCTGCACATTGACAAAACATTTGCCACTTACCAAAGGCTAGACTGCTTGGATCCACACATTTAGTGTGCCGATACTTTGCAACATCCTAGGCCAGGGGTAGGCAACCTTGGCTCTTTTATGACTCGTGAACTTCAATTCCCAGAATTCCTGAGCCAGCCATGCTGACTCAGAAATTCTGGGAGTTGAAGTCCACGAGTCATAAAAGAGCCAAGGTTACCTACCCCTGGCCTAGGCTCTCTCAGAAATTGATGTGTATGAAGGCCAACCCCAGTTAAAAGAACTGGTGGCTGTGATCTCACAGTTGTGTACATAATAGGAATGATAAACGTTAACAGGTCCCACAGCCTGAAAAAGTTTTAAGCCACAGGCTTGGAGGCAAGGAGAGAGTAAGGAAATGCATGTCATGACATGCCCATGGAAAGCATGACTCACCGCACACAGACCATCAGAATAAGCAGGAACTTTACCTTTGGATTTTCATCACTAGTTACAGCAGCGAAAGCATCTTTCAGCGGTTCCATCCTTACTGTTGGTAAAGTGAGGGGAAAAAAAAAGAGATGATGACCTAAACAAGAGGATTATACTAAATTTTTCCTGCTATTTTGACTTTTTTTTTAACCCACTCCATTATTCATTTTCAGCTAGGGCGTTTTTGCTGCTTTGGGCACGTAAGCTTTTAGTTTATTGAATAAACCAAAATTAGCTCGGTACACCACACTAAATCATGATCAAGATCACTAGCTTATTATGGCTGCGTGTGCTGGGTCAACCAGTTAAGGTTTCTCCCGCCCGCCGCCCGCCGACTGCTGTGGGATTAAATTCGCAGGCGGGACGACCTCTATGAACCTTGTCGGCAGAGAGAGTGCTGTAATAAAGGAAATCACGATCGTTCATCGTTTCGCATTCACACGTTCGTTCAAGAACTCTTTACCTTTAAAAGGAGCTGTCTATCAGCCGAGGTTTGGAAATAAAAGACAACGGGAGGCCTCTAGCACACCTTCCGGAATGACAAAAAAGGGGGAAATGACTCCACAAGTTCTTGCAGAGGCTTTTCGTAAGGCGGAGAGGGTGGGGACAAAGCGATTTTTACTTTTCCGGGGCGGTGATTCGGACCCTGAGTAACAACAGACTCATTTCGGCAAAAGTGATTCCCGCCCATTTCCTTTTAGATGACGAGAAATGGAAAGCAGCCGCTAGCCGACAAATGAAAGCGAAACTGGATCCAGTTCTGAAATTTCCCGGGCTTTCATTATGGCCTCTTGGGGCGCTCTGAATCAATTAATCAATCAATCCCCGGAAGGTACAGAAATAGACTCCAGCTCTGGGGGAAGAGTAGCCGAAGCCGGCGAGAGACTGCATCGGGATCGTTCCCCTCCTACTGGAAAGCTGGAAAGGCCTGGCGGGGGCTGGATGATTCAGAGTCTTGCTCCCTTCGGCTTCCGAATTTAAGTCCTGCTTGCATTCCAGCCTTTGTCTGAAAAATAGGGACGGGGGAGGAAACAAATAAGCAAACACCGCCCTAGAGGCCAACAAAGTCATTACCAAAAACCAACATGGGTTTGTCAAAAACAGATCATGCCAGACAAATCTTACTGCATTCTTTGATTAGGTGACAAAATTAGTGGATCAGAGGAATGCTGTGGATATAATTTACTTGGACTTCAGTAAGGTAAAAAGTAGATCACAACCTTCTACTTGATAAAATAGAAAAATGTGAGTTAGACAGCATCACCACTAGATGGATTCATAGCTGGCTGACCTGCTGTACTTAATGGAACTGCATCTACATGGAGGGAAGTGTGTAGTGGGGTGCCCCAGGGCTCTATTCTGGGCCCAGTGCTCTTCAACATCTTCAATCTATGATTTGGACGCGGGGATAGATGGGGAACTCATCAAATTTGCAAACACCAAGCTGGCAGGAATAGCCAACACTCTAGAACAGTGGTTCTCAATCTTTTTAATGAGATGACCCCCAACTGGTCATAGGTCGAGGACTACTCAACCAGTCGTAAGTCGAGGACTACTCAACTGGTGCAGCACCGTTTGCAGAATGGGACTTTTGGCAGGCTCAGCAGGGCAGCCTGGACAATTCCTATTGGCTTTTGAAAGCCAATAGAATTAGACTCTATTCAAGAGAGTCTATTCTATTGGCTTTCAAAAGCCAATAGAATAAAAGGGAGTAGCACAGCTAAGGAAAAGGGGGAAAAAATGGCAGATTGCATTGTTTGGCGACCCCTGTGAAATGGTCATTCGACCCCAAATGGGGTACCGACCCACAGGTTGAGAACCACCGCTCTAGAAGATAGGCTTAAGATACAGAAGAATCTTGACAGACTTGAATACTGGGCATCTTCGTATATGCACAGGTAGATGTCTCTGAGTCTAGATAGCCCCAACCAATTTGAGCTTTCATAATACCTTATAAACCTGGCTCTCCCATCAAGCTTTGGATGGCATGTAGCGATTGGCTCTCTGATGGTGCTTTGACTGAAAATCTGTTTGTTTAGTTATCCTTCCATTATATACACCTTGCATTTACACCTTGAATTTTTCCTTTTAAAAAAACTTTTATTTTTTTACTTGTTTCAATCCTTTTTTTGCTAGCTACCTAGAGTCACTTCACCAGTATACAAACTGATAAATATTTTGTGAAAAATATTAAAAGAGGCAAGCAAAAGACTTAATGATTCTGATGAAAAGAAAAATTGTTCTGGATGTGGATGAAAAGGGCTAAATGAGAAGTCTGCAGCAGAATGAAAGGAATTAAAAATAAAAGTGATGAAATTATTTTGGATGAAATTGAAATAAGAAAATGCTCAAAGGAGTATATTGACATGGAATGATAGTGGTAGGCTGGAATTGAAACCAAGGATAGAAATGTTACTGTACAAGAAAAGTTGCTGAAAAGTAAGCAACAAGTGCTGTGAGAATGTTGAAAAATGTAAAGCTGCAGTGTAGATAGTGTGATTATGTGATAGTGTTACTGAAAAAAAAGATTAAGCTATGGACATGATTTGGGTAGCATTTCCAAGGTAATCTGTCCGTCCTATCAACAAAGCCTTTTACAGAATCAACCAGAAAAAAATCCAGGTCTCACTTCCAAGGATTGGAGGAATCCTATTTCTATTTACTAAAGTTGGATAATTATGCATGGAGATCCATCACTGTTGGCTGCTGTTGTAGATAGAATGTATGGTGGATTAATAAAAATCACAAGGCCTATTCTTGTTTGCATTGCCAGTTAGATGCTCAATGAAATGTATGTCAATGCTTTCAGTGGGCACGTTTCTATACTAATAGTCTGTGGCATTGTCAATTTAAAACAAATATGTTTGTTGTATGTGTTGTTAAGTATTTGTTTTCAATTTCACTCTTTACACAACATTTATGCTTTGTTATAATAGCAGTCCCTGTTATGGCTATGGTGACTATTTTCATCAAAACAACCCATCCACTTCAAAAGGCAAGCTAGACATTAGACAACACTCTGATTGTTCCATGAGCTTGTGGGCAGCTCTGAAAAAATGTAGCAGAGCAGCCTGTTTTAGTGTCTGGTAATAATCTGCAAGAACATCGGATGGGCACCAAAAGTGGAGAGATAAAGAGGTTGTCTTCATCCATAAATTCCAACTCAACGTTCTGCCTTTTGTGGGGGCAAATTAGGCAGTTTTTGAAGTCCAGCAGCATGACTTGGTAGCTCTGGATCTGAAAGTGCAATAGACAGCTTCAGTAAAGTATTTCTTTGAGTGGCCATGTCCATACCAGCCTCTTTATTTTTCCAGTACAGATCCGCTACAATGGAAACTCCAGTACAAACACAAGCAGAACAGTTACATAATTGGGTCTTATACTTTCAAACAAAATGCCACTGTCACCTGATGTCAGGTCATTTTGAAATAATAATTTACACTCACGGAATTACGGCATAGTCAGTGGTTTCTGATCCAGAAGCAAACTTTATTTCATTACAGCTGGAAACTCAGTCACCTTCTCAATATCTTAACAGCATTAACTGTGCCCATACTTTTGTTCATCTCCAGTGCCAGTCATTTCTTGGCTGTCTTATTAAGTACATAAGTATGTTTCATAAACTCTGGGGAAAGAAAAAGGGAGAAAAAGAGAAACATGTTTACCTGTATAATTTGCAACGTATAGTATAACATTTCTGTAGAATAAGAGACCCTTTCGGTTAATAATTCCTCCGTGTCACAGATGGACAGACTTTGTGCCCAGGGCAGCAAATATTTACCCTGAAAGTAGCATCAAAAGGTAGGTATGCAAAAGAGGGGGGCCAAGGAGGCTAAGGGGGGGGAAGGGACTTTCCGGGAAAAAGTTTCTGTTTCGACTTTGCTTGAAAACTGCTGCCTGAAAAATCAAATGATGTGTGACTCATTCTCCACAGTAGAGACACTCCCATCCCATTTCAATTGTCCAATCCTATTCTTTGGGGAAATCAAAGTTCCTCTTTAGTCTTTCTTCATCTATTCCTTTTTTAAAAAAATATGTGATAAACTAAACAAAGTAGCCGAGAATTCCTTTGGTGGACAGAAAGAAGTTTTGGATCTGGGGAGCCAAGCAAGGTAAGGAATGATTTCAGATAACTTTTCCAAAGTTCAGAGACAACCCTATTAGGGCCAAAGTGTTCAGGAGATTTGCAAGAGTTTTAGTCTCCTTTTTTTAGGAGACCCAAGTCCCTGCAGGTTTTCTACTAATCTTAGAAACATAGAATACAGAATCAAAGGGCTGGATGTTATCTAGTCCAACTACATGCTCAAGGCAGGGGACCTTATACCATCCAGGTCAAATGGTTGTCCAGGGTGTTCTTGAAAACCTCCAGCAATGGAGCATTTGGGAAAGCAAGCTGTTCCATTGATTAATTGTTCTCACTGTCAGGAAGTTTCTCCTTTGTTCCAGGTTGGATCTCTTTAATGAGCTTCCACCCTTTGCTTCTTATCCTGCCCTCAGGAGCTTTGAAGAATAAACCAACCCCCCCCCCCCATCTCACTGACTCTCTACAATTGTTTCATGCTATCTCTGTCTGTTATCATTTCATACTGCCCCTCAAGTACTGGAAGTCAGCTGTTATAATTAAAGCTGCTTCCTCTTTGCTGCTGTTAGGGGCAAAGAGGAGAGGGAGGGTAATTCTCGGCACAAAGCCAGAATAAGGTCGTAACTTGGGTTTATCATATTTTTTCCAATTCAGAGAAGCAACCTGGTTAATATGCATTATAAAAACACAAGTGATGCTCTATTGTGTGTATTGCAGCTATTGTATCTCTGTGTGTGGGTGGGTGGGTGGGTGTAGCAAAATGATATTTGAAAGGGTTGGATTATATATCAACTTCTGCAGCAATATTAAACTATTTTTCTATTATCGCCTATGTCTACCATGGGTGGATCCGTCTGCATACATTTCTACTTCAACTGAATTGCCAGAAATTGTAATTGTAACATTTGATTGCTATCTTATCTAGCTTTCTCCTTCTCTAGCAGCTTTGCCTTTGATGATGCTGGCTATGAGCTCTGATATTTGGAGGGCATCAGCTTCGAGAAGGTTTGATCGAGTAATAACAAATAGTCTTTTCAATAATGAAACTTTTCTCTGTTTTCAGGACTGTGCAAGTAAAGTGGTCTTTTCCCTTCCCTGACCATGGCATTTTGGCTTTGGCCTCTCTTGGTGTTGCTGAGCACAGAGATTGCAATAGCTGAAGATCTGGGATTCAAAACTTGTAGACTGCAAGGTCTCAGTGAAAAGGTACTAGAAGTGCTACCTGGAGGTGGCTGGGACAACTTGCGTAATGTGGAGATGGGCAAAGTCATGACCCTCAACTATTCCCAATGCCGGACTACTGAAGATGGTGAGTACCTCATTCCCAATGATGTCTTTTTGGTGCCCCTCAAGAAGAGCACGGTGGAGATCCACTCTGAAATTATTGAAGACTGGCTGTCCTACACCGATGCATTTTCCAAATCCATCAATGCTGAGGCTTCCTACCTCACTGTGCTCAATGGCAGGTTCTCCACTGGTAGCCAAGAAACGAAGACCCACAATGTCTATGATGAGACAGTCACCACAAGAGTGCAGGTACTGCATCACATCTACTCTGTGAAAGCTCAACCGTCCTTCACTTTCCACAACGACTTCCGTCATCAGCTTGTGAGTATAGGCAACCAGCTGGAGAACAATCAGAGTCGGATTGCTGAGTATATGGCAGAAATGCTGGTATTAAGCTACGGCACACATGTCCTCACAGGTGTGGAGGCTGGAGCATCCCTCATACAAGAAGATCAGGTGAAAAAGAAGTTTTTGCTGGACAATGAGGCTAAGAAAGCAAGCATCACTGCCTCTGCCTCTGTTACTTTTTTCCACAAAGTCAATGTGGGAATTGGGACCTCCATGGAAGGTTTGAGTAATATGACTAAGGAGTATCTGGTAAATACTGTAAATTCCAAATTGGAGAGCTGGGGCAGTGTGCCTTTCTATCCTGGTATCACCCTCCAGAAATGGCAGGAGGGCATCCCCAATGGTTTAGTGGCGATAGGCAAGTCAGGGCTTCCTCTGCCATTTTTCATCACCCCTGATGCTTTACCCGAATTGCCAGAGCCTACAGTCTATCGAGTGGCCACTACAGTGGAAAACGCTATCCGCCTCTACTATGCAATCAACACCCATCCAGGCTGCGTTGAGCCCAGCTCAAAGAACTTCAATTTCCAGGCCAATGTGGATGATGGCTCGTGCCAAAACCCCAGCACAAATTATACCTTTGGTGGAATCTTTCAGGAGTGCCATGGGGTTTCGGGCCAGGACTCAGAAGAGCTTTGCCAGTCTTACCGTATCCAGAACCCTTTGACTGGCAGCTACTCTTGCCCGAAGAACTATTCGGCTGTCCTGCTGCACGAAGAGCAGCGTACAGCCAACCAGCCAAAGATGGAGTGTCACCAGCAGTGCCATTCCTGCTGGCTTGTATTTAAATGCTGTAACAAGGTGTGCGGCATCCGCTACTACCCCAGCACAGTGAAGTTCTTTGCTTATTGGTGTGCTGCCGCAGGCCCAATAGCTCAGAGCACAGGATTTCTCTTTGGAGGACTCTATAGTACCGGGAATGAGAACCCAGTGACCAACACCTATACCTGTCCAGCCTACTTCTTCCCCTTGGTCCTCTTTGACAATCTGAAGGTGTGCGTCAGCAATGACTATGAGATGGGCTCCCGCTTTGCGGTGCCCTTCGGTGGCTTCTTCAGCTGCCAGTCTGGCAATCCTCTGGCAGGCTTGCGGGAGGGGCAAAGCCCTGGAATCCTCCAGGATTTTTTCTACCAAGATTCCCCTACTAAGTACCCCATGAAATGTCCAAGTGGATATAGTCAACATAAGGCATATTTAAGTGATGGCTGTGAAATTCTCTATTGCTTGCAGGCAGGGACACTTTTTGCTCAGCAGTTGGCTCCCATCAAACTCCCCCCTTTTCTGCGCACACCATCCCCAAATGGCAGCCTTTCTGAAACAATCCTAGTGAGCACCGAAGGTAGCCAAGCCTGGGTCAAAATACAGCAGAGTGGGAGCTGGAGGTTGGCCAATGGCACAGATGGGAAGGCAATAGCTCTTCTTTTCCAGAGAAATGACAATTTGGGATTATCAAATGGGGCCATTGCTGGGATTTGCGTGGCAGTGATTGCAATCTTGGTTATCTTTGTTTTTATCGCATTCAGAATTCGGCGCTACAAGATTAGAGGCTACCAAGAGGTGACAAATGAGCATCTAGTCAATAATGATGGAAACTATGGAACCACAGAAACACTTCCAGAATTTAGTGCTGCCTGAAACATATTTTCATCTATACTTTGAAGCTTACTTCCAACTGTGGGAAGTGGGAGAGGCAGAATAATAAGGGGGAGTTGTGTAGGGATGGGGGGAGGAAGCATTAACTATGGGTGTATGTAAAAATGTTTGATCAAAATGATGCTAACCAGCTTCCAAGCAAAATAATTTGCTTTGAATTGAGTGAATATAGGTAATTGATAATTTATTTACCTGAATATAGGTAAAATAAGCAACCAGAGGGAAATAAATGGAAAGATCTAGGTTTTATCACGAATGTCAAATTATATGAATGAAAGGAAAATAATTCAGCTGTAACAATATAGCTTTTTGTTTGAGCAACTGTAGTTCTATAGCTGAAAGAGAATAGGTTACACTGACAGGACAAGATAGGAAAGGACTTAAAAGTAATTTTAGTAGACTGAGACATAATTTAGAGCAAGAACAGCTCTTGCTGTAGTGTACTGAGAATTCATTTATATGTAGGGGGATTTATTTTACTTTTATTGCACTTTGACAGCCATCACTTGATACATTATTTTAAAAAAGCGGATAAGCAACAATACCGAGTATAATAAGCAAACTCCTTTGGCAGTCAGTCAATAAATCCTTTGTCAATCCAATAAATCCTGTGCTGTTGTTTAGAAAAAGGTCTTTGACCCTTAGGTGATGATTTTTTCATCACTGCCTTATGAAATTAGCCCTAATTGGTAAGAGTGAGATAATTGCTTTAATTCCTGGAAACATATGGGTTTATCAACATACTGTATTATGAAACTCCACTTGTATTGGAAAATAGAGATTAGCCAAATGTAAGTCAAATGTATGTGGTGATATTCTGAAATGCTTTCTTGCTGAATACTTTGTTTATTTCCTTTGTTTATCACAATAAATTGATATATTTGGAAGTTTATGGCCAGTTACTCTTCTATAAGTGGCATTGTGGCCTAGCGGTGAAGACGCTTGCTTCCCACCCGGAAGATTAGGAGTTCAATCCTAGGTAGTGGCAGATGTTTCTTAGGACACAAAGAAAAAAATACCTGCTGTGAACTCTGCATGGCATCAGGAAGGGCATCTGGCCAGTAAATGCTCAACTCCATCCAGTCACCCGCAACTCTGCCCTGAGTTAAGGGATTACAGGGTGGTAAAAAGAGAGGTGTTTTTTTTTTTAATGGTTAGTTATTCTTCTCTCTCTTCTGTCAGGTAACCCAGCTTCCCTCCTTTAGACACTAGCCTTGTTTCTTCTCTGGGCCATGGCTGAAGTCCTTTCATCTCCTTTTTTCCACCCTGCAAAAAGACAACAGTTCCAAAACACCAACCAGTTCCATTCTGGGCCTCTGCTGTGGAAACGTTCTTAGATAAACAGCTCAGACATCATATTATGCTAAGAATTATTGTGTTCTGGTGTTTGGACTGAATGGAGTATTTCAATATACCTACAGAGGGATGGGGACACTACACACTGGCCCTCACTCCAACCCCACACGTTGCCCACGGAGCAGGCAGATTTCAGGAGCAGGAATGAAACCTGGCCTGTTAGAAATAAAGATCTCCTCAGTTTGAGTGTGTTGAGGTGTTGGGGTGGCTGCTCCTGGAGAGCCAAATGAGTCTTAATACTTAATTGTGCCCAATTCCCACAAAATGAGTGAACAGGACAGAGCCGGCAAGAATGAATTGTTCAGGGCTAGGTTTCACAGTTTAGAAAACTCCCATCAAGTATTTTTTTGTAAAACTTCCTCATTCCAGTTCTTCTGATATTTTTCTTAACAAATTAGAATAGAATTTAATGCTACAGCTTACTTAGTTGTCGTTTCTTAATCGGCATAAAACAAATTCTTTATAACAAACCCTATAATTGGTTCATTAAATTTAGTGCAGGCAGTCCTCGACTTATGGCACAATTCAGCCTAGAATTTCTGCTGCTGAGTTTTGCCTCATTTTACGATTTTTCTTGCCACTGTTGTCAAATGATTCACTGCCATTGTAATGTTAGTAACAAGGTTGTTAAATGAGTATGGCTTCACAATTGACTTTGCTTGTTGGAAAGTTGCAAAAGAGGATTACGTGGCCCTGAGGACACGGCAACCGTCACAAATATGAGTTGGTTGCCAAGTGTCTGAATTTTGATCGTGTGACTATGGGGGATGCTGCAAAGTGTGAAAAATTATCATAAATCGCTTTTTTCAGTGCCTATTGTAACTTTGAATGGTCATTTATACAAACGGTTGTAAGTGGAGGACTATCTGCACTATGTGTCACCATTTTCCTCTCAGATGTGTTGAGCTACAAGTCCCATCATCCCCAGCCAGCATGTATTTCTTCTATTTTGTGGACCTATTAGGAGGCATGCTACGCTGTATAAAGCTGGGATTTAAGGCCTTACAAGCCTTTTCCTTGTGCAAAAATTGACTTTGAAAGAATCTCTCATGCTCTACCACTTCACCCATCTGAGGCAAATCCTGATTGGCCTCTTCAGACCAGAAAATAAAGGTGTTGCAGTTGTTCCTTTATTTTATCAGTTAGACCAGGGGTGTCAAACTGCCGGCGGGCGGGCCAGATGCGTCATGCCGAAACCATGTCCATCCCATTGGCGGCAATGGAGAAAAAGTTGTGATATGTCACGACACATCACGTGACGTTGTGAGTTTGACACCCCGGAGTTAGACAATGGGAGGAGGTAGAATTACCCAACTGTGAGAGCAGAGAGTATCTAGATTCATAACCTTTTTTAGTAAGGTAGTTGACTCATTGTTTGATGCAGCTGCGCTCGCTCAAGGCAAAACAGATATGCACATACTTCACTAAAAGCCAAAATCACAAGTCAGCTTGTCTTGATATTGGAACTGTCCTGAACTGTATTCAGAACTCATTTATTTGCAACTTAAGTCCTGGCAAGAATTGGGTCTGAAACAAGATAGCAATTCTCTCTCTTTCTAGCTGCCCCATCTAGCATTGCATTTATAAGTTTTTGGGGATAGAAATCCATCTTTAGCCAAGGTGCCTAAAACACCCCCAGTATTGTTTTAAAAATACTTTATATTATTATTTTCATGCTGAAAAAAAGATCCTTTGCTTTGGTTTTTATGGGAACTATAAAACTGTTGCATACTCAAATAGCTTTCAGCAAAAAGAGGTGATCGGCAAACATCTGTTTGAAGGATTACCTGGAAATAACAATTCAGGCAGCTGATGGTCCTAGAGACCCCTCCCATAGGGGTAGTATTCCAGGAGAGAGATAATTGATCTCTCAATTGCTGGACTGAAAGGCACCCTCCTCATAGCAGTGGCTGAATGATCTGTCGCTCTTTATTTCTTTGCCATTGGTGCTCCAATAATAGAAAGATTGAACACAAATCAGTGGGGTCTTTAGGTTCAGAAGGCAGAGGGAAAACATCTGTCCAATGAATGGGGTATTATCTAGTTTGGTAATGGAACATCTGCAAATAAACAACCAAGCTCAGAGAACACCAAAAACTGCACGGTTCAGTCCTGAGTTACAAATATTCTCTTGTGTTGGTAAATTCAACACTTTGTTTACATTCTTTGAACAATCCCTACAAAAGTAGTATAAAATAGATAGCTGGTATGTCAGTTTAATTTGGAAGATCCTTGGTTTTCCTCAACTTCTCCTGAGTATAAAGTAAAATGATACCTGTATAGCTTCCAAAGCACAGGGCTTTCTTTTAAATAATAGTATGAAATGAATATGCTGAGAATATTACATAATCCCAGATTCAAAGAACAAACTTCTAATCCCTTGACATGTATAGTTTTTCATCAACTATTTAAAAACGCAAATACTTAAAATGGACAGAAACTGGTGAGGTGGGAACCAGCAATTTCTGGGTCAGTAACAATTATTACATAACCACAGCTCAACCATGGCCATCAAGGGTCCCAACAAGTATCTATTAATTCAGAATGGCAGGAGGAAAAGAAGTCAGGAGTACCCACACCTCAAGCATCTAAATAATAATAATTATTGTTGTGTCCTGGGCCTGATGAGGCAAGGTGCAAGGCGCGAACAAAAGAGATTTATGATAGGCTGTTTGGAAAACTATAAAAGGCTTGCGAGCCTGTTGGGTTACTGAGTGGTAACGTGGAATAAATAAAGAAGAACTTGGTTACAACGTGTGTGTCACTTCAATGCCGCGAACCCCAAGACGTAAAAGTGGTGACGAAGGTGGGATTGCTGCAAAGAAGAAGACAATTGAAGAACCTAGCCTCTAAAAAAAAAAAAAGAGCTGGAAGCTGGGAAATTAGCGCCCAGATCTGCACTCGTCTGCCAGTATGCAAACGCTGGAGATGGGCTTGGCAAATGGGCCTCTTCCCCACCGAAGTTGCAGTGAGGCTAAGAGAAGCTAGCAATGTTGAAGATCAGCTAGCTGTCCGAATTCAACGTGTCTCACCTGGAGCGTTGGAACTCTTATGTGGCCCGGGTGGAAAACTACCCCAAGTTAACCAGGTTTGAGAAGATGGCTTGAAGGCAGGGACCTTGCTGCGCGTCTGCAGCCAGGACACTTTCGATGTAGCAGAAAACTTAGTAGCTCCTGCGCCGCTTGAGTCTGTATCGTACACAGACTTGAAGAATATGCTGAAGGACCACTTCCATCCAAAGCTCTCTGTGATCGCGTGGAGGCATGCTTTTGAGCAAAGGGATCAGAAGCCTGGTGAGTCTGCTATGGAATTCATTGCTGCCCTGAGACAAGCAGCCAGGCCTTGTGAGTTCAAGGACTTGGAAGAACGTTTACAAGACTGTTTTGTCTGCGGCCTTAGAAGTAGAGAACTGCAATAAAAATATTTGCTAAAGCTGAAGTCACCTTCCAAGATGTCTTGCGCGAAGTTGCAGCTGAAGAGGCAGCTGAAGAGGCAGCAGGCGGCACGGTGAAGGCCTTGCACCTCGCCAAAAGCGCTACCGCAGTCACGTCCATCCATCAAGAGGACGCTCAAGAAGATTCAGAAGCGGATCCTGAAGAAGGAGTGGACAGACTTCACCAGCCAGCAGAAAGAAGACCAAAGGGGCATCCAGACAAGGCCCCAGCAGCTCCTCAGTGTCTCAGGTGTGGAGGATGTCACAAGCGAGTTGACTGCAGATTCCGCTCCGCCATTTGCCGGGCATGTGGCAGGCAAAGCCACATTGCTTCTGTCTGTTTGGGTTGCCAGAAGGTCCAACCTCGGAAAAAATTGCTTCAGAAAGGTACCAGGGTCCCCAGCCAACACAGGGTGGGTTTCTGCGCATCATGCAAGAGTATTCTGAGGATAGGGACACACAAGATCCTTAAGAAAAAACTTTGCATTGACGTGAAGTTGCAAGAGGTTCCCCTATCGATGGAGTTGGACACAGGGTCCACTCTATCACTCATTTCACTTGACACCTTCAAAAGGATTTGCAGCAGTAGTGGCCTTCGAGTCAAACTCAGGCCCTCAAATTTAATCCTCACTGACTTTCAGAATTCCAAAGTTAGTGTCAAGGGGGAGGCTACGCTCAAAGTGCAGCATAAGGCTTTTGAGGATTTCTTAGATGTGGTGGTAGTGGGGGTGAACGCACAAGTCTTATTGGACTCGATTGGTTCGAGGCCCTTGGAATTCAAGTGACTGGGCTGCACAGCGTGCAAACATTGGGCCTTGCAGAAGTCTGCAAGCAGTTTGCTGATGTGTTTAGCTCAGAGCTTGGATCCTACAAGGGCCTCCCATCGCATTATGTTTAGATCCAACTATCACGCCCATCAGGATCAAGCCTAGAAGGATACCTTTTGCCCTTAAAAGCAAGATAGATGCAGAGCTGGACAAGCTGATCCAGCAGGGCATCTTAGAGCCTGTGGACTCCAGTCCATGGGAAACCCCCATTGTTACGACTTTAAAGGCTAATGGAGAAGTCCGCAGACTATAAGGGTATACTGAATAAAGC